TATACAGAAATAAGTTGACCGGAAATGACCTTTGGCCCGTTATTCCAGCAGTTATGTCTCGTCAGGCGGGCAGACTCTCACGGCGGGATGAACTTTTCAAAAATACCAACAAGTAAATGCAAGTAAATGGCCCTTGGCTCCCGGACTGAAAGGGGACCCGGGGGTCTCCTTTAATTACCCGACAGAGCTTTAACACTGTATGGTCTGAGTGAAGACACTGACACTAGCAAATTAAAATAAAACAATGTAATGTCACATTTTTAACTCACGAATGCCATAAGGGGCACATACAACACATCTTTTTTACAATATCAATTATACCCGACCCAAATGTTCCACAGCCGGACTCGACTACAGTCTACAATCTGAAACATAAATACTCCGAAGTAATGAAGTAAGTGGTTACCATAATCCACAGGGATTTCAAATGAAATTATAGTAATATAACATGCTACGGTACAGGGACGTAGCCAGGATTTTGAAAGTGGGGGGGGGGGAAGCCGTTATGCAAATTACGTAGGACCCCGGCGGGGTCAAGGAGGCGAATCCCCCTGTGAAGTAGCGCACTCTGAACGTTCTTAGGACTGTTTGAGAGGATAAATTGAAAATTGCAATAGACGCATTATAAAACCAGCAATAGACGCATTATAAATAAGCGCAAAAATAATTATATAATAAATCAACAGTGGCAGATCCAGGAATTCGAAAGAGAGGTGAACCAGGGAGGGACTTTCACAAACCGAGTAACCACCCATCTCAGCCCCACCATGATTGGGGCTGAGGTAAGAAAATTTATTACTAGGGCATCTCTAGATGGCCGGAAATTACACTCTCGCACTTCAATTTGAATATATTTTTCTTCTTTATTTTTCCTTAAAAAATGAAGAGGGGCCTTAAATCCACCTCTGCTCAAAACATTCTTTATCCACTGCCAGAATAGTCATAATCACGAAAAATGGACATGAAAAACCAGATCACATCCTAAAAACAAACAGCAATCACTAAGACATACATCAGGAGCCGATTCGATGGAGTTCAATGTCATACCCAGGGAAGGGCACAGATCTGTTTTGAAAGGTGGAGGGGGAGGGCATTTTGTGAGTCGACACCCCACCTCAGCCCCACAATGGTTGGAGCTGAGGTGAGAAAATAGTACCTCTAGATGGCCAGAAATGACACTTTTAGTATTCATCATTATTCAAAATGAAGTGCCAAAAAAAATTCTCATGATCTTTTATCAGGGATTTTTGACAACCATAGAGATCTTATTAATGTGTGTGTGTATACCATAGAAAACAAAGCTTAAAAACATTGTCTTTGAGTATGTACGTTACATAGGCCTACTTCAAAAATGTGATTTCACAACCACCTCAGCCCCACCATGGCTGGGGCTGAGGTGAGAAAATTTGAGGAAATGGTACCTCTCGAGATGGCCGGGAATGGCACTTTTACATAGTAAAATTCATCATCATCACATTACCATTATAGTCAAAATGAAACGCCAACAAATTTCTCATGATCTTTTATCAGGGATCTACTTAATATCCAGGATAACTTAGGCCTAATTATAGCTTACTAAGCTTTAACTATATATACTATAATATGATCAACAAACCACAATTTTTTTTCGCATTTAGCACAATTTTCTTCACTTTTTATTGCTATTAATATTATAATCAGTTATCACTCTCGTCATCATCATCATTGTTATTATTATCATTATTACTATTATTTGTAGTATTATTAAACAAACATTAAAAGAAACTTACAAAAGGATAAAAACGAAATTGGACCACAGTATCGCATTTCTATCTTAAAAGACCTGGCCTGAGATTTATGAATTTAAGATTTTTTTTAATCACGCTTAGGCCTACTATGTGTTCTATTAGGTCTATGTATAACGTGTACTGATGCATATTTACATGTTTAGAAGTATTCATTTTGAGTGATCCCAGGAAAGAATTTGTATTCGCTCAAGAATAAGCTTTAAAATTTTAACACTGTGTACAAAGGGGGGAGCCGTGGCTCCCACGGCTTCCCCCTGAATACGTCCCTGCTACGGTATTGTTTGATATTCCAATGTGGCCCATCGTAATCCAATCAAGGGTCCCAAACATTTTCTTGGCCCAATGACTTGTCGTTACGACACTGGTCGCCACAGCCTACTTCAGTTCATTCTCTGTATCCATCTTTCGATCAATTTCATTACACACTCCGGTCGAGCACGAACACCTCGATTCCTGCCTTAGTATCCCTGGACTACTGTACATCATTACACACCCCCGTCAAACACCCCGATTCTTCGCCGAATGACCCCTTTTTTGTTGCAGGCATATCTGCTTTAGTCTGTACTGTAACATAGAACCTCTATTCTCTCCTACTACAGTATATTATTCAAAGCCCATTTAACCAGAGTGACCACTCACAATTTTTGATATACCCAATGACTGGGTCGAAATTACCCAAGATTCAGCAAAAATTGCCCAAAATTACCCAAGCTTCCTGAAAATGCATTAAAATTTTAAAAATACGTGTTTTTCGCATGTATAGTTTCCCTTTTAGTTCAATTTATAAACCAATTTGGTATTGTAATTGTTTGTGTTAATTATTAAAATTAATATTCATGAGGTGATAATACGGATAGAAAAATACGCCCTCAGTCGGCCAGTGTTATCAGTAGATGAGTGATCAAGTTTTATTGTGTAATGCATTAATTAGGTAAGATCTATGGCAACGCAAATCACAAATAAACAATTCTGAACACATGTTTATAGCAATCAACAGTCAATTAACAATGTTTTAACATTGTTCTAACTTAAAATTGCACTTCGTTGAGTTTTTCTTACTTGAATGGACTGAAATATACTTTGTTACTTCTTAATTCTTCCTCTATGACAAAAATATTTAATTTTCTTAGTAAAAATAAAATACTCAAGGATTTGAACGGCATACCCAAGAACCCAAGACCAAGTCAATATACCCATAGCAGTGGTCACGCTGCATCTAACTTATTAACTCTCTCAAACTTCTCAGAAAGCTCTGTCTTGATCTCTTCGCTCGCAGCCAATCCCCTCCTTAAGATAGTGGACTGTTACATTGTATAGATAGGGGTGTAAGGTGGACTCTATCATTTTTTTTTGTTATAGTGTGATTAATGATATTAAATAATAATAATAGTACCATATCATCATCATTATTTAAATTAATGTTACCCTATGTAGGCCTAATAAGACTATATAATTCGAGCGGGCATGTTACTTAGCCTGCATCCATTGAGTACAAGTTTTAATAATCATTAAATATATTTTTAGTGACCTCCACAACAATTGCAGCCAATGACGGAAGTAATAAAAACATGTTCTCTTCAATAATATTGATAATAATATTATTATTACGTGAACGGATACGGGTAGAAATCGTTCTTTGTCTGCCAATCAGTGTACAATGGTCGCACCATAGAGAAAATATTTTCTCTATGGTCGCACGTTGTACATATTAAACCGTGGTAATCGCCGAATTAGATGTGGATGACAGCTGCGTCACATTAAATCGTATACTGTATGCTATTTATCTGTTACATTTTCAATCAGATATAAATCGTCAGATAGCAAGTGTCGAACGTCGAAACTAAAGTCTTATTTAATGATCCAAATTCACCTTCAATATGGCAGTAGCGTAACCTTTTGGTTCTCATGGTAAAGCTAGGCGGTCGGGAACCATTGGAGGCACGGATATTAATCGGCATATAGGTCTATTTTGCGAGGGACAAAGGAATTGATCACATATCGAATAAATAGATCATTATAGTGACATTTCATAGTGAAAATTATTGATTGTTTCATCAACAATCTGCAAATTTTGATCATTCTTCACTTCTCCATAAAAAGGAGAGGCTAAAAATTGACCAATGTGGAAATAAACACGTTATTATACATCAATAAATTACACAACTGTTATTTGTAAACTCGAGCAAGATAATCACTGAAGTGGAACAATCTAGTATCCTATAATAGACGACGTTGATGAAGACGATATTGATGATAAGGGTTTTGGTGGTGGTGTTGATGATAATGTAAATAATAATAGTGATAATGTTGATTATGATAATGATAATGATGGTGATTATGTTACTCATAATTTGAAATATGATAATGATGATGATGAGAAGGAAGATGATCGTACAGACGATGATGATGATAACGCTGTTGATGTTGATGATAATGTTGGTGATGGTGATCATGATAAAGGTGATGGTGATATTGATAATGATTTTGCCAATAATGATGATAATAATGACGGTGATTACGTTACTGATAATTTAAAAGATAAACCCCTACGATGATAATGATAATGACGAAGAGAAGGATATAGGATTGGATATTGATGATGATGAGGTGGAGGATAATGATGGTGAGAATATTTATGATGACGATGATGATGATGACGATGATGATGATGATGATGATGATGATGATGATGATGATAATGTTGACGACAATTAGGAGTAGGTGGTGGGAAGATGAGGAGGAGAAGGCAGAGGAAGATTAAGGTGACATATTGATAATGATGGTGAGGATGATGATAATGTTTATTATTTTCATTTTTGTATGTAGCACACTTTATTCAAAAATTGAATACAAGGTACACAAACAGTTTCCCAAAAAGAATAGAATAGAAATACATTGACTGTTAAAAAGCCTGGTGAAAAGAGCTATGATCTTGTAGGAATTATATGTACACTAAAACAAAAATATCGATCATAAAACTAAGCATACATTAACACAGACAATAAGCAGTGAAGCACAATAGATATATAAAACAACACACACATAAACGCAGACATAAAACAAAATGAAACATACACCATTGATAAAAATCTTCATGATGCTTTCTAATTCTATATCAATCATATTCAAATTTGAAAAGAACTAAATTCTCTATTGACACAGCAACCTTTACTTTCCCAATATCTTGTCCTAGACCCATCACCAACACTGCTGTCAAGATTGTTACCTGTTAATATAATAATGGTGTTATTTGCTGTGGAGGCGTTGCGTTATGAATCAGTCTAAAAAGCTTATCGAAACCGTAACAGGATGCTGGCTCATTTCTTGTTCATTGTGATCTTAAGCAGCAACTTACCAAGTCACGCAGAATCTTAGCACAAACAGCCAGAGAAAGTAAGCAAAACTGTTTGGAAGTTAAGTACCTGTCAGACTGGTACACACACCAGTTACACAACAAACTGAACAGACCGGTTGGGAAATGTTGAATACGACCTTGGTAGTAGGTACGTTCAATTAAGCAGTTTGTAAATATTCATAAATAAAATAAGTGTATATTGCAAGGTAGGGATATATATATATATATATTTTTTCTATATACATGCATATGTAATAAATGTGATATTGAACGTTATTATACAACATGGTTATATAAAATTATCAATGATTTATTTTATGTTAAATAAATATTTTTTTCAGTTTCCATTTCATTCTCTTAAGTTTGCTATCATATTTGTGTCTGATATTGTGGGCTTGTACTGATCCGATTACCAAATACAACTCATATTTACGATTTCCCTCCAATTTCAATGGTCTTTAATATCGTTAAACGTTCAGGTTTATAACGTCCTAGAATTTTATATGGCCAATTATGTGTTTGCACTTTGAACTAGAATGACAACCTGAGAATTAAACTATAATGGTGCTTTTTTTTTTTTCCTTGCAACAGGTTGAAGTTTCTAAGGCGTGGCTAGAAGGAATCAAGTGCTGAAAATGTATAAAATGTGTGTTCCAGGATTTATAGTTCTATGTGTATTCTACCCATGTATTGTTTTCTCGAACTTTATTGCCCATGAGAAACCCAAGAGTGTCACAGTGGTCGAGGGAGAAACTGCAGTCTTTCACTGTCATATAACTGCGCAAGTGCGCGAGAGTTACGATATAGCGTGGTTTTCGGAAAGCCGTAACGCGTTCTTGAGTAAAAATGGTCTGATGCGTCACCAACTAAGCACAGATACAAAAGTTCGATATTCGATCACAAGATCGTTAGCCCATAAATTCGACCTAAAAATCGACAATGTTAAAGTTGGGGACGCAGGAAAGTTTTTTTGTATGTACGCAAGTCAAGACTCCCCCTTGCAGATAGGATATTACAATACCGTAGGACCGCCTGCTGAATTATTTGTATTGGTGCCGCCGACTGATAGTTCTCCGAAATGTATGATTAATTATCTTTCACATGGAGATGTCGATTTTGTTTGTGCATCAGAAGGCGGTACTCCAACGCCATTACTTGAGCTCTACATGGGAGATATCAGACTACAACCAGAGCCAGATAGTACAGATCACTTGGTTTATGCAAGAATTAGGTTAACAGAAAAACAGAGAGGAGTGTACTTTAAATGTGTATTAAACAGCCAAGCTTTACAAAAGTCAAAATCCTGTTCTTTGATACCACTCCCTCCTATCGTCCAACTAACACCAGAAAGGGGAATTGTAATAGAAAATGGAAGTATAACATTCAACTGTAGTTCTTACGGCCTAGATAACCCAAAATACGAATGGAAAGTGACACCTAATTTGATCCTTAGGCTTCCATTCTCTTCTGAATTGGAGCTGGGGATTTTTACAATCCACGGAGCCCACCTATCAGACAACGGGTCTAAAATAATGTGTGTAGCTACTGAAGTAAATGGAGATATGATCGTGAGTGAAGAAGCAACTATGATAGTAGAAGAAAGAGTTATCACCACTCAAAGAACCACTCAAAGAACAACGACTATTGAACCCACTACTGAACTCATGTTTATACCGTTAAAACCCAAAGCAAAGCCTAACGCTGCGATAGATTTCTTTCAAAATAATGTACTTATTTTGGCTGTTTGTGTAGCTGGTTTATTTATTGCGTTTCTTTCAATGATAGCTATCGTTATAATTTGTAAACGAAAACGAAAATCGTACGATGTTAACACTAAAGTTGACGAAGTTCTCGTGGATAAAACTTACACACCGTATGAAAGTGTCGATCAGAAAATACTACTTAACGCTAATTTGTTTTCAGAAATGGATAAAACAAATGGCCATACAAAGCAAAATTCTGAGAACGGAAGTCCAGTGGTTTCACCAGCTGAAAGCCCTACACGATCGCTTCCTCCCTCCTCGAAACGTTCGCCAACATTCACTTCGAAACCCTCCCCATGTCAAAGTGTAGAGCAATCGCCTTGTACCAGTCCGACAATACTCGGTAGTAGTTCAACTAGTAAACAATCGACTCCGCTGTATGCAAAACCTATGAAAGGAGTAAATCAGCTCAAGTCTAACGCACATCACAAGCCTCCCACATACGCTGTGCTTCAGAAGCGTACATACGCCTTCCATTTATCATTGGAAGATATTACCGGAACCCGTCCTTCAGATGATCCACATAGCTCCACAGACGATACTAGCTGGAGTCGGAATAATCACGGAAACGAGTATGCCGAACTTACAGACGTAATACCGACAAAATATATTGACAACGGCAAAAAATACGAAGAGATTTCACCAACTAATCATGTGGACCCAACCAAGTTAAACGTCGAGGGACTTAAATATGCAGATTTGGAAATAAACAAGCATTGCACTTCTGAAATAAGGTCCGATTCATCAATGAAAACACAGTACGCAGAAATCGCTACACATTGTGACGCAATTTAACTTCAATGACGCATTTTAATCACAAATGACGTAAACGCTAAAGCGGTTTAATAATAAAGAATATCATATGATCGCCATTTGCGTCATGAGTACAATCAAACATGAAAGCATTATGTCAATGTCTGTTTCTCTAAGCAACATAAAGCTGTAATTGAGCAACTGCCAAAATGTTTCACTATAACATCGTTGAAGGGAAACTGTACAATAGACCACATATGCAATTATTTTTAAAGTTAAATACAATGTAAAATAAGATTACCTTTATACAGTTTACTTATATATAATGTATAAATCAGTCCTAATTATAGCAATTATTTTTGTATAGATTACAATTTAGCTGATTTTGCCAAGAAGCGAAAATAAAATATTTAAACGCCTCGAGAAACGTTTTAATAAGGAAATAAATGATGGGTTCTATCAGATAATTTAATTTGGGAGTCTGCTGAAAAAAAAACGAAAGTTTTAAAGATAATGATTCAATTAATTGAACCAACTTTAATGGATATTCCAGCCCCTTGAATATTGTTGCTTAAGTTCCCACATAAACATCAGCGTAAAATTACGCACACGCGTGCGCTTATAAAGTCGCTATATATGTGGGACAAGCGAATATTCCAGACCCTCTTCTGATTGGTAAGTTGTAAGTTCGAGTGAAACCTTGGAAAGGCCGACCATTATTATTGTATAATAAAAGAATTTATATAGCATTTACATTATTTGAATTGAATAAAACAACAGAGATAAGTGTTTGTGAATTCCATGAATTTCTAAGATAATATTAGTCCACTGTTCTATTTTCTCTATGGTTCTACTGTATATTTTGTGTATAATTACCATGAACAGCCGCCAATGGCACTAAGTTTAAGATTTAAGCAATCTATAATTCTGGCAAAACAAGCCAAACCAGTCACTCGTCGCAAAAATCTAGTTATTAATACAGGGTTTAACAGTAAAATGAGAGCTATAAAATGGTAAAAAATCATTTAAGTCTGACATTTCGTTATGAAGTTACACGATTTTAAACATACAGCTGTTTAAAGAACAACATTTGAGAATTCAGGCTTCAAAGTTTACGATTTCAGCCATTTCTTAGGTACAAACCATCACCAAATTAAAAATAGTTTTATCATTGAAAATGAAGAAAATAACATCATAGCATGATGTATAGATATATAAAGGTTAGTTTAGTGCAATAAAATAGATTTCCAAAATTTTGACATTCCAGCATGTTTTGGCCATTATCTCCAAAACATGATTTGCGACGAGTGACTGGTTTGGCTGTCTTTGCCACAATTGCTATCATTTGGCCATAGTATCTACGACTTGGCCTACCACGAATAAAATCACCGTCATCGTCCTTCATTAGGGAGCTTTTTATGCATTACGACGTTGTTCTCTTCCCCCAAATACTAGGACGTGGATAATTTGGGTCGAATCCACACCGTGCGGAGAACTCAGGATGACGGTCAAGGATCTCATTCATCTTCACCGTTAACCTATACAGTAGCCCAGTAGACTATAAGAGGCTACAGTCACTTTCTCAGAAACAAATCGGGAAAACCTCAACATTTCAATACGTTTTTAATAATATTCAAACAATGTAAATCGATTGTAAATTAATCGATATACACAAAAATATAATTGAAAAAAAAATCGGGATATGAACACGAAATTAATACGCTGTTTAGTAACCGAATTAAAAGTTTTATTTGCATCCCTTACACAAAAAAAACCACATTTTATACTATTAAGGTAGAAGTTTATTTGAAAATTTATTACAAGAAGATGAACTGTACAGGAGATAATTCAGTGAAAAGTCAAACTTACGAAAATAGCATATGCCATTCATTTTTTTAAAGAGAGTCACGCGACAATTAAATGATAACTCTTAATTCCTTATAAAACTCGCATCTTAAAGTGTTTAAAAATACTCTTATATTGGCTATGGGAAATCGCCTAAAAAAGTCACGACAATCGAATGAGAACTCTTAACTTCTCATAAAACTCTCACATCTTAAATTGTTTAAAAATTCTCTTATATTGGCTATGGGAAGTCGCCTAAAACCGGGTTGAGATAGCACCTGATTTAAACGTTTTAAACGATAAATTAATAATACTGTACTAAACTGTTGATAATTAATTAAAAATAAATCTGTTTACAGTTACAGTACTTCAGGTGATTCAAATCTATGGTCACTGAAAACAAAGGACACAGGGACTATTGTATTCAACAACTTACGAATTGATTGATTGATTGAACAAAATCAGGTTTATCAGCAGTGATTTTAATAATATGACAATTCGATCGTCACTTAGGACAGTAAAATGCTGCAGATGTGAGCATCACATCAAGGCTTTAAAATGAGGAATAAATGTCAAAACATTATTCATGTATCTAAAGTTGGTAACTAAGCTTATCTAAAAATGCTGGGTTAGCATTGCTGAAAATGACGATGTGTTTAAAGCTTACAGCAAGCCAGTCTTCGAATTGAATACAATTTTAACTATTTCATAAAAGTCTGGCGAAATTGTTAACAATAAAAAAAACATTCCACACACAACAGTTGACACGCACCAGTTCATAAATTTATAAACAAAATTTTTTCAAAAACTTACAATTATACATATAAATATGCTAGTAAATATCTCTTATATTATGGTAATTCTTTCTCCTACAGTAAGCATGTTCATAATGAAATTAAAGTGTCAAAAAGTTATGCATACTACTCATATATGTGACCATAATGGACCTTGGATATTGTTGCTTAGGTTTAAAAGATCGACATCGGAAACATACTTCCTGGCTCTGTTTTGATTGTAAGTTTTTTAGCATGATCGACACTCTGGAAAACTCCATTATACACATGGGCTTTGTCCCTTCTCAGCTATATAATTATGATACTACAGTAGATAGATATAATAAATACAAATGACAGACATGGTCACTTTTACACATAGGCCTAATTTGTTTGTATATGTACATATATACCATAGACATGCACATTGTTACAATCTCGACGACCTTCTATCACATTAGGATATCCGACTCCATGAGGTTTGTTTTCACACCATACAAATAGATATAATCTATATATGACTTATATCTGGTCTTTATCTGTACCTCAAAAATTCAAACAAGAAAGCATCAAGAACAAAACCTTGGTTCTCTTCAAAAAAAAAACAATACAGAAGCAGAACTATGCTTTAATCTCACACAACTTTACTTATGCTGCAGGACAGTAATTCAAACTTTACTCATACTTCAACCAGAAGGTATTCCTCAATATTATAATAACTATTATCATACAAATTAACAATTCATTTTACCAAGTCGCCTGATAGAAGATTCCCGCCATTATTTAATATATTGTACTGTACAAATGTTCATATAAATATGGCTTTAACTTTATCATATTATCACATATTCTGAGATATTAAACTCTAAATACAATGATAAAATAAACCTCCACAAACAACTGCTAGGACTTTATGTATACATTATTTTAAAAATGCAGACCATTTATTCATCTATTTAGCACTCCTGGAAGCATGATTGGATTTCCCTGATTTTGGGGTGGTTGTCTTTTCAGCTACAGCAAGCTTGCTTTGTGGACTGACATTCTGGTGATGTTTACTTTCAGAGTTTTTCTCCTTTTGGTGACGGTGACGGTGGTGGTGCCGACTTTTTATATCGCTCTGTGTTTGTTTCGTGCTGTTCTCTTTACTCTTTAATGGGGTCGCATCTCCTGACCTGGATGGATCATCTGAAGCAGGCATATCCTTATAGTTGATGATCAGTGTCTCAAAGACCAGGTCTCTGTGTTCAGTTGATGATGAGTTACTCACATTCCAAATCTATTGGAAAATACAGAAAGAAAGATGGAGGTGAGGGTAGAGGTAGGAAATCAACCCATAAATTGCAACGTCATTTACTTACATTTAAACCTAAATTAGTATTAAATGCAAAGAACAGTATGTGAAAAGAGCGTGAGAAGTTCGGAAAGTGGACAAAGTTTGGAGAAAACTGAGGAAGAGGAACAGCTTTAGTATTTGGTGACCTGGGGAATGGGGAACAGGTATCTGGTGACATGTGGAAGAGGTAGATCTTCAGTTATCTGGTGATCTGGGGAAGGAGAAACAGCTTCAGTATCTGTTGCGCTGTAGAAGAGTTACAACTTCAGTATCTGGTGACATGGGGAAGGGGGAACAGCTTCAGTATCTGGTGACTTTGGAAAAGGGGAACAGCTTCAGTATCTGGCGACCTGGGGAAGGGAGTAAAGCTTCAGGATCTGGTGACCTTTTATTATCTGTTACCATGTTAAGTCTTCAGAGCAGGATATTATACATATGTCAGAACAAAAATGTTATTGAAGTGGGAAGAAAAGTTACAATTGTTTTAGCATAATCATAACAAATTCCTCAGTTGTAAAGTGGTGTTGCACTATTTGTCAGGTGTCATTGTCTGTTGGTGCATTTAATGTTATGTGAAACACAAAGACATGTGACAACAAGTGAGTCACCACTGGACAAATGATGACAAACAATGAAAATCTACAAAAGAAATTTTGTTCCTTGTTTCTCAAAAGTAATCCTGTTCAATCAGGTAAACCTCAAAGTTATTAATATTATCACAGCACACATATAGTAACATATAATAATTATTATTATTATCATCAACATAACTTTATATTGCAATATTAATTAATGTACATAATCAGCATTCTTATACACACCTGATACTGGATCTGAGATTGAGAATTTACTGTGTCTGTATTTTTTAAAGTTGATGGTGTTGCCTTAGAAACAGTTTCTTTAAAAACTTCTGCAATCTTCTTAGGCCGAACATAGTCTGGGGTTGACTGAATATGTATCAGGGGTGACTGCACATCCACTGGGGGTGACTGTACATCTACTGGGGGTAACTGCACTTCCATCGGGGGTGACTGCACATCCGCTGGGTCTGACTGCACATCCGTAGGAGCCGACTGCAAAACCATAGAGACTGACTGCATATCTATCACAAATGACTGCATATCGTCTGGTATCATGTGACTTTGTGTTGATGACTCAAGTAATTCAAGGACCTGGCAATGATAACAGAAATATAATCAGAAAATATTTAAATATATATATATAATTATAAACCTAAAGTTTCATTATACAGAGTACCTCTTAAAGACATTATCAATACAGATCCCCGACTGGAAGGATGGTACATTGTTTACCCTGTGTACATGTACCTAATCAGTGGCGGCTCTAGAATATATTTTCTGGGGAGGCTAAGCTGTCCGACAGGGGGACTTGAGCTCGTAGGCCTGAGTTGGGGGAAGGGGTTGAGAGGGGATCCCCAAAGAGATTTTTTTAAGAATAGCAACTTTCGGATGGCCAGAAATGGGACTCTCAGACAGTGACAGACATGTGTTGGCTTGGTGTGGGCCTATTTTTGTATGTTTTCTGGTCTGACTGCTCGATGACCTCCGTCTGACGGGGAACCCTGACCTGTCCATCTCGGGCGACTTAAGCCCCCCCGGTCCCCCTGCTGGCGCCGCCACTGTACCTAATAACACATGTTTATACAAAAGAACTCCATAAACTACATTTCATAAAGTTGTAATTAATATATATTCTAAATTGGTCTGTTAACATTTAGATTAGGTAATGCATACCTTGGTTTCCTCTTCTTCAATTTCTACAATTTCCGTCTGTTCGATAATAATTGTTGGCTGATGGGTGAAGTCAAGCTTATGAGCAGGTTCCTGAGGTTCTGGCTGGTGGGTGGAGTAAGGTTTATCGGCAGGTTCTAGCTGACGGGTCAAGTTAGATTTATGGCCAGGGTGTTGTTGTTGGGTGGAGTCAAGGTTGCGCGCAGGTTCTGGGCCATTAGTGGAGCTAAGGTTTTTAGTTTCTGGCTGATGGGTTGAGTCAAGTTCATGAGTGGGCTCTGGCTGATGAGTATAGTCAAGTATTTTCGAAGTATCTGGCTGATTGGTGGAGCTTAATTCTGTGGGTTGAATGGTAACATCTGCAATTTCTGTTTCCAGCTCAACCAGTACAGTGGACCAGATCTTTTCAGGTGATGGTAATGGTTCCAGAGTTGTATCCACCTTCTCTTCCACAGGAACATTTTCTTCATCAGAGGTTGCTGCAAGCAATCAATAAAAATCTTTTGCATTGTATATAGAGAATCAATATTGGGTGGGAAATGCTTAAAATCACAGCACCAATAGTTATCTACTCTAATTTTCATCTTACCTACGTCTTCTGCATTCTCATTGTTATTTTGGAGACCTGGAACCAGTTCGTACATTTCAGACCCTTTACTACTGTAATCTACCAGTTCTGGTTGATCAATAGTCATAACACCTCCAGAGCTTTCATAATCATCACCTTAAGGTGAAGTGAAACATCAAAATATGCATTAATGAAAATGTTTCATCCAATAAACTGAACATGTATTAAGCAATTATAATCACTATGGATATTCTTCTGACATGCCATAGTTCATTAGATAGGAAGAATGAGGATTAAGGTTAGGGTCAAGCCAGCTCCATCATTCAACACCTCAGATTTACGTCAGGTTGTTGGAACAATATCCACAATGGCCATTATAATATATCAATCTTATATTGCGCATCATGCCCAGAAAGACTTTCAAGAGAAATGCCCAGTAATGATTTAACACGTACCACCCAGGTTTAAAATGCAGTGTTTGAGGTCAGGGCTTATAGATGAGCCATTGCACCTTACATCCAGCTACTAATTCACTGAAATAGTGGTTAGTAAACTATTGTTTATAAAACAGTCCAGTCATTATTAATTTTCATTATTTATATTTTATAAAACAATAACTACAAGGTTACAATAGCTTCAAATGGGCAACGTCAAAAGTGACTTAAATCACTATAGAGTGGGGACCTTTTACAAAAACAAAGAAATGCATGCAATGAAAGTGACATTTTCTATGCTTTTTAAAAATTATATAGAGTTTAACAGTTAAAATAAAATATTCTTTCATTCTAATAAAATACAGAGTCTTTGTTATGTGCTTTCAATTGTTTTATGCTATATTTTTTATCAGAAATGTAAGTATGGTCATATTTACTTTGCAAATTCAAATGGATCTCTGTTGGTTGGCTTGTCCAGCTTGCTTGTTGGATCACAGGTTCTTCTGGTTTAGGGACCTCAACTGGTTCTACAACAGCAGAATATATTGTTTTAGATTTGTAAACTAATCACACATTAAAAATATATACAGTATTCATATTATACATTTTGTTTATTTATTTTTGTTTTTTAATATGATTCGTGGTCTGAATACTGACAGCACCTAGAGACAATTTTATTTTATTGTGCACTCTTCGGCCATTACCATTATAACTGTAATTTTAGAATCATTTAATAGTGGAAATGACAGAACTATACTATGATAATGGAACTATACTATGATAATGGAACTATACTATGATAATGGAACTTCCAATAATAATAAATAATTTCCTTCACATCCAACAGCAAGTACACTCACCACTAACAGACTGGAACGATGCTTTAACTTTGGGATACACTCATCCTCTCCTATCCTAATACTATACTACTGTGTAACTTTCGGGCCTACAAATAATATTACAATGTTGTTTTTTTTTTTTCAGTTTTGTTTGAACCTGGCTCCTAGTAGCTTCTAGGTCATACTGTAATATAGCAGATGGCAGTCTTTCTCAGTGTGTGTATTACTTTACCCCACTAAATAATATTAATCATACTATGGGTAAAAAATATAGCTTTGTGGGGATGGAAACGTAAATACCTGGACATGAAGCCAGCGGAACAGCATACACTGAAGTGGAAGACTTGCAAGCAGCTACCTCCATCTGACAAACGCTGCTGTACAAAATGTTATCGCTGCCGCAGACGCTTGTGCCGGTGCTGATGCATGTGCGATCGCATCCACAGACATTTACATGCTCATCCTCATTGCAGTCGTTTGACAGAGTGTTACAGTCATCATCTGGAACTGTTACAATTTTATATCATTTATATATTTGGGTATATTTTATTGCGTAAAAGAAGCTCACATACAAAACAGTCTGTTGCAGCATACGCTGAATTGAAAGACTGAGTAAAATTACAAAGATGTAAAATTGGAAAATAAAAATTTACAAATCATTATTAAAATATTGCAATTATTAAATATGAATACAGATGAAGTCACAAATTACAAAGACAGGTTTGTAAATCATAAGTTTTAGTTATATTTTATAGATAAATCTATTTCCTTTTGTGCTTTAGGTGATAAATCTAGTCATGAAACCTAACTGAATAAAAATTATAATTAAAACAATGAAATAGAAAATAAAATGTAAAATAAATGATAACACATAAAAATATTAATAGCAATAATTAGTAATATATATTGAAGTGTTCAGAATTTCAATCAGTAGCATCAAGCTATTTATGACTCTTTAATGATTGCTGCGGTTTTTTTTTGGTTTAGATTTAATTTTTAAATTTTAAAGTTGTTCAATTATTTTGTGTAGGTATACTCAGTATGGGAATATACTACAGGTGTTTTCACCCAAGTGGACAAATTTCACTCTCCACAACGATTCTTAAAGACATCGAGAAACACTGCCCTCATGACCATTTGTACACAAATCCAAGAAATTCACCTAAATCTCCGGGACTTGATGCCGAAATCTCTTTCCGATCAAGATCTATGTCTCCACAGGATTCTTCTGGAGAAATTGGCCACAGCTTCACCAGTGATAGGGATTACCAGTTGAACTACAGCTTGGATAAATCATCTACAGAGGAGTCATCATTTTTCTCTTCGAATATAGCAACTCAAAGAAGTCTAAGTGACAGCTGTTTGCTTGATTTAACCACAAGAGTGGGAATGCAGAAAATTAATAATCAGGGTGTTAACTGTCTCACGCAAGACAAATTGACCTATGAACTTGGGTTAACATTCACAGACTACCGTTTGAATTGTACAGGTTTTGCAAGTATTCTTGCTGGACAATACGACGTGGCGAAGGAGACAGCTTTAGCCAGCAGCAATCTCGACCAGGCAACTTCAGAAAACCATATAGAATCCACTCCTTCACAGGGTAAGGTCTAATAATAATAATAATAATAATAATAATAATAATAATAACTGAGGGTCACTTCATGTAATCTGCAGCCAGTAAACCGGCGTACTTCCATCTATCCACGACAGGGGCCGGGTGAACCAGTACACCGGGGTAACCCCCTACTCTTCTCGGAAGATGTACTGGGTTCTTTAATGTGCACATGAGTCAAATTGTGTACATTGGGCCTACAGTATTTAATAATGTACTGTAATATCAATTTAAATATTTTTATTTATTTAAATTGCACTGCATGGCAGTATAGATGTACCTATATGATAGAACTTAATTCTCAGAAAGTGTTTGTGACCCCCATGTAACCCCAACCCCCACTAGACGTTTGCTGAAAAAAAATACTAAAATGATTAATTAAAGTTACCTTGAGTGATGGCCATGCTTCTCAGAATTCTGACAGCTCTGTTGGATGCCTGGCTGTCAAGTCTAACCAAAGCATAGGCTGTGAGGGCAGCAGTGTATGGGCTGTCTCTTATACACATCTTTCAAGGGGGGGGTTTATTCAAAGCAGGGTGTTTATTCGAAAACATACTGAATATGGTAAGTAAATGGAAGGTGTGTGGAGCAACCGACTTCATTTACTTTTAAAGAATTTTGTTTCTTTTTGAATTATAAGAGCACAATTAAATACATAGATTTATAAAGCGCTTCATACCAAAGTCAAAAAGCGCTTGAGGTTAGACTAGTTTAAGTACAGTATCTTCCTTCTCCATTAAGGGTCACTTTGCTACCAGTCAACTCTCCTAATATTAAATATTTATGTATATGAAATTTGAATTAAATTGAAATGACACCGATTATGTGAATTAACAAAACAGCACATCGCCCTCACCTGTAGCAAGCCACAACCTTCTCCTTCAGCTTCCACAAACATCATATTTGGAATCTGGGGGATCTGAAAAATGCAACAGCGGTAACAATATCAGCATTAGTCTGTTGGAATGAAGTTGTACTGTAACACAATGATTCTTTCTCATGATTAAACACAAATGCACTTTGCCTGAATATCGAACAATACGCAGGCCGTGTTCTTTGTCTTTTTCTTCCCAAAATTTAATCATCTCTTTTTTGGATTATTACATTACCATTCCAGTAAAGTTTATGACGACACTGTAGAGTACATTTCTTAATATTTTGTAATCTTGGTAATACAGACAGACAGACAGTAGTGGATATATTAACTTCTTTGGCGGAGGTAACAAGCCTAAAAGAAGATGAATAATAAAAGTACTCACCGTAACATGTTGCAAGACTTTGTTGTTTTGGTTGTTAAGTTCAAAGGCTGTCTCTTATACACATCTAGATGTGTATAGAACCAATGCTTTAAGACAACACTAGTCCTTCCTCAGTGGCGAGTGAGTATATAATTATATATTAATATATATATATAGCTCCTATTCTTATTGTTGAATAAAGACAAAATATAAAAAGAATGTCAAAAATACTTTACCTTATCTAGACTTTCAAAGTCTGCAGTAAGACCTGTGTGGAGCGATACCTCTAGTACAGCCATGTTGGAGGAGCCTGGGTGGAGCCATCGAGTACAAGCCTGGATCATAACAATATCCTGCTCCACACTGTTATGCTGCAACTCGTCTTGACCATCAGCAGAACGTCTCCTTCGTAAAGAATTCCTCATTTTCTTTGAATCTCTCATTTTAATATTCAATTTGAAGGATTGTTTGGTCGTTGGATCAGGTATATTGTATTTAACATCAATCTGTATTCAATAATAAATAATCTAAAAATAATGCTGTTATGTTTAACAATTTTAATTTATTCAATTACCATATTCATTCAAATAAAAGCCCTGGGGGTTTATTGTTGAGAAGGTTTTTGAGGGGGCATTTATTCGAGGAGGCGTATATTCAAGGAAGGCGTATACTTTTTTTGCTGTTAAATGGATATGTATATACCCAAATAAATGCCCCTTAATTTCACTGTAAATGTGGAACAACAACACATAATTACCTTTAAAATGTGTTATTTTGTGATAACAATGACTAACCAGGTTAAAAAAATGTAATTCTGCTGCAGTAGAACATTAATAGAATGTGTTGAATATGATGGTACTTTAATTAGATTGTTTGCTTGGTTAAGGAATGTTTATTTGTTGAAAAAATAAATGCCTCAGTGCCTTTATTTGAGGGAGGTGTTTATTTCAAATGAAGCTCTAGAGGGTGTGTCTATTCAAGGGGGGCGTTTATTCAAAGCAGGGTGTTTATTCGAAAACATACTGAATATGGTAAGTAAATGGAAGGTGTGTGGAGCAACCGACTTCATTTACTTTTAAAGAATTTTGTTTCTTTTTGAATTATAAGAGCACAATTAAATACATAGATTTATAAAGCGCTTCATACCAAAGTCAAAAAGCGCTTGAGGTTAGACTAGTTTAAGTACAGTATCTTCCTACTCCATTAAGGGTCACTTTGCTACCAGTCAACTCTCCTAATATTAAATATTTATGTATATGAAATTTGAATTAAATTGAAATGACACCGATTATGTGAATTAACAAAACAGCACATCGCCCTCACCTGTAGCAAGCCACAACCTTCTCCTTCAGCTTCCACAAACATCATATTTGGAATCTGGGGGATCTGAAAAATGCAACAGCGGTAACAATATCAGCATTAGTCTGTTGGAATGAAGTTGTACTGTAACACAATGATTCTTTCTCATGATTAAACACAAATGCACTTTGCCTGAATATCGAACAATACGCAGGCCGTGTTCTTTGTCTTTTTCTTCCCAAAATTTAATCATCTCTTTTTTGGATTATTACATTACCATTCCAGTAAAGTTTATGACGACACTGTAGAGTACATTTCTTAATATTTTGTAATCTTGGTAATACAGACAGACAGACAGTAGTGGATATATTAACTTCTTTGGCGGAGGTAACAAGCCTAAAAGAAGATGAATAATAAAAGTACTCACCGTAACATGTTGCAAGACTTTGTTGTTTTGGTTGTTAAGTTCAAAGGACTTCTCTAAGTTGTAGTTTCCAGTAGCCAGGGATATGGTCAAGTTAACACCACCAACATAAGCTAAGGTTGCATACTCAGCCAGAGCCTGTAATGCTATACATGTATCCTATATAATATTGTAAGTAATAATAATAATAATAATCATAAATAATCATAATCAATCAATCAAACTTTCATTGTCCATTGCACAAATGCACAGTATTTACAATATCTATGACAATAATAAGCAAATAATATTTCTGATAATCACAAATATACATACTTTAAAAATAATAAACATTAAATAGATAAATAATATCAAAATAAAAACATTTATCATTATTATATCTATTTAAATCTTGGTGTAATGGATATAATTTTATCTCACACTCTGGCCAATTGCTTGTGTCATGAGCATAAGGCACTATATTGATGTTGTCTTTCTCTAACAAGGAGTAAAAGTGGGTCTAGTAGGTTTGAACATCAATGCTCTGATTACTTGCCACAATGTTTTGGAACTCTCCACCCCCACCCACTCCAAAAGAGCTGTGTATCAGTACATAGGTCAACAGTGACAGGGGTACTCATGTGAAGCATCTAGAGCCTGATATCATTTTTATATATTTAATTTATTTATTCAACATGATGTTTAATACTGTATGTTTCATAGATTAGTTTGTTAATGTGTTTAAATAACAGATAAAATTTTACACGTGATAAAATTCTAAAAATATGAAACATTATTGTTATTTACCTGGGTTGATGTAAACCCACCGAGGGCGTTCCTCTGCTGGGAAAGCCACTTAACAATCGGCAGGGCCGATGCAATGTCCCCTAGAGCTGTATATGTCAATAATCCGTAAGCTGTCATTTCAACTTCAGCCGAGTTGATGGTCTGTTTTATATCCTCAAACCCGCCAAACCTGGCCACTGTTTCAATTGGATCACCTGTCACTCGCCATGATGTGTAACCTCCTAAAAATATAGTTATATAAATATATATATATAACTTACAATGTAATGTATTGGATTTATATAGTGCTTTATACCTCTTGGTCTCAAGTGCTTGAAGTGTTGACTTGTTCGTACAATACATTGCTTCTCCCCTACGGGTCTCCTTGTGTCTGAGACCCGGTATCAGCTACTCTCGTCTATCCACAACAGGGGCTGTACATACCCGAAGTTCTCGGAAGATGTACTGGGTTCTTTAATGTGCACATGAGTCAAATTGTGTACATTGGGCCTACAGTATTTAATAATGTACTGTAATATCAATTTAAATATTTTTATTTATTTAAATTGCACTGCATGGCAGTATAGATGTACCTATATGATAGAACTTAATTCTCAGAAAGTGTTTGTGACCCCCATGTAACCCCAACCCCCACTAGACGTTTGCTGAAAAAAAATACTAAAATGATTAATTAAAGTTACCTTGAGTGATGGCCATGCTTCTCAGAATTCTGACAGCTCTGTTGGATGCCTGGCTGTCAAGTCTAACCAAAGCATAGGCTGTGAGGGCAGCAGTGTATGGGTCATCTACATGCTGGATATTTTCTTCAAGAAATTTATTGGCATTATCAATAGCAGCTATTTCATCAACAGACTTAATTCCAGCCTCCAGTAATGCGATCACTACATATGCTGTCAGTGACACCTTCCCTTTTACACCGCCCTATAAAATTCATTTTTATTTTATTATTCATTATTATTTAATGTCGACATTCTAAATATACCTTTTATGAAGTAATATAAAATCATTTACTGGAGCTGTCAATAAGCAGGTGAAATGCTTAGCTCAATTTCCAATCCTAAGCTCATTAAATGGGAGGTGTCTTGAGGCTTGTCGTATGCCAGGTCAATTTGAGATACTCAAGAAAATACATGGAGCTTGCAATGCCTAAACCAGCATCAGTGAACAACACCAAAAGAAAATTGAATTTTTAATATATTCATATTCTCCGCTTTTTTTTTTTCTTATGCTAATAATACCCAGTTTAATATTTAGCGACAGTGGTTTTGGGATGGCCAAGACTCATAATTAAATGCAGGGATATTTTGAACAAATATTGGGTTTCAATGTTTTGAGTTTATTTACTTTAGTTTGAAATTTTTTAAGGTACATTTTTATAAAGCTCTTTTTCAGAATTGATAGAAAAACCAACACAAAATTTATCAATTGATTATATTTAGTGGCGATTTTCTCTAAAGTATGTTTTTGAATTTGAAAATTATTTTGCTCTGGTTATCACTGATTTTAAGAATAAAATAGAGCCTATATAGACATCTATCCAAATATATCAATAACCCCTTTTTTTGTACGACTCATTTTATCACGACAGCTCACATTATGTGCTGTGATATTAGGAAGCTCTTGATTTGTTTGACGACATGAAGCTGGAACGGAATCACTAATACGTGACCATCCTACCGGGCGTCCTACGTTCTCTGCATGTGTAGATTTGGCCAAATTGCGTCCTAGAATCTATGCAACGAGAACTTAATGTTTTCGCATGCGCAGATGAGTTTTAATGGCGTCATTACGTTCTACGTCCTACCATCGTCGTGCAATCGAAAGCTCCCTAATAACAATTTGATAAACTTAGCCAGTGGATATGTAATTGTTTCACTCACTTGGATGTCTTTGTTAAGAACTCTTCCAACCGGAGGAAAAGATCCATCTGGAAGTTGCTGGTTTATAATCCAACGCTTGTTGCTGTCCAGTAGTGTGGAATCGATGTAAATGAACGGCCGTGATTGGGCAAATGACTTCAGGACGAATGCAGACAACCACATGCTTCCAGAGGAATCTCGCTGACCAAATGCACTGTAGGATCCGTCATTATGTTTGTATGTTAGCTGTCTCTGGTAACCTTAAAAGGAACCATTAATTAAAATTTATTAGATACCATGTTTATTGAAGAACAAAATAAAGATAGAAAGCAAAGTTGCAGTCCAACATGTTCATCATACATTACATGTGAATGCACATGATTCTATTGTTCAGCAAATGGGGCTTGCAATGCTAAAAACCAGCATCGGTCACCAAAACAAGAAAATGAACATTTTAACATATCTTTCTCCACAATTATAAGCTTTAAAATGTTAACTCATACTGGAATCAACTTTACTATTGCCAAAGTTATGAGCAAAAGTATTACGGTTTCTCTGGACTTAGTATCAATACTGCCACAATCTTTAATACTCAGTTAAACATTGTGACAATGCACTTGTTTTGGGATGGCAAGCCTTAAATATATCAGAATATTCATTAGGCTTATGTTGTATCTTAGCCAATCACAAGACAGATAATTCAGGATGTTTAAATTTTTTACAGGCATAGTATGTCAGCTAATTTCATTTATTAGAACATACACCTTTAGATCAGTGGCACTCAAAATCATTTGGTGCGTTCAAAATGAATTAAAATTCTTAGCTACAAGTAAAAAAAAAAAAAAATTACGAAACAAAATAGTAATGGTAGTAGTGCTAATAGTAGTAGTGCTAGGAGAATTTTCTGTTAAATTTGCTTACCTTGAACCAGAAACTTGATTGCCTCTTTTTCCCTGTCATCTGTCAACTGGTGAGTCCGCTGTAGGTAGCTCATCACATACACATTTGGTGCAAAATGAATCATGTTTTGTTCCCCGCATCCAAACGGTAATCGGATCAGGTTGTGCAGGTTTGTCAGCGTAGGCCCCATAACGTCACCTACCATGGTAGCCACAGCGTGCTCTGAACCAGGGATGTAGTTCAGCGGAAGGCCTAGGTTAAACACCTCCAGGAAACTGTTCTCAGCATCTGAAAATAAAAATATCATGAAATTGACCGGTTTAAAAATGGATATTAGACTTTACTAGATGAAATTGACTGGTTTTAAAAATGAATATTAGACTTTACTAGATGAAATTGACCGGTTTAAAAATGAATATTAGACTTTACTAAATGAAATTGACCAGTTTAAAAATGAATATTAGACTTTACTAGATGAAATTGACCAGTTTAAAAATGAATATTAGACTTTACTAGATGAATTTGACCAGTTTAAAATGAATATTAGACTTTACTAGATGAAATTGACCGGTTTAAAAATGAATATTAGACTTTACTAGATGAAATTGAATGGTTTTAAAAATGAATATTAAACTTTACTAAATGAAATTGACCAGTTTAAAAATGAATATTAGACTTTACTAGATGAAATTGACCAGTTTAAAAAATGAATATTAGACTTTACTAAATGAAATTGACCAGTTTAAAAATGAATATTAGACTTTACTAGATGAAATTGACCAGTTTAAAAATGAATATTAGACTTTACTAGATGAAATTGACCGGTTTAAAAATGAATATTAGACTTTACTAGATGAAATTGAATGGTTTTAAAAATGAATATTAAACTTTACTAGATGAAAATGACCAGTTTAAAATGAATATTAGACTTTACTAGATGAAATTGACCAGTTTAAAAATGAATATTAGACTTTACTAGATGAAATTGACCAGTTTAAAAATGAATATTAGACTTTAATAGATGAATTTGACCAGTTTAAAAATGAATATTAGACTTTACTAGATGAAATTGACCGGTTTAAAAATGAATATTAGACTTTACTAGATGAAATTGAATGGTTTTAAAAATGAATATTAAACTTTACTAAATGAAATTGACCAGTTTAAAAATGAATATTAGACTTTACTAGATGAAATTGACTGGTTTAAAAAATGAATATTAGACCTTACTAAATGAAATTGACCAGTTTAAAAATGAATATTAGACTTTACTAGATGAAATTGACCAGTTTAAAAATGAATATTAGACTTTACTAGATGAAATTGACCGGTTTTAAAAATGAATATTAAACTTTACTAGATGAAAATGACCAGTTTAAAATGAATATTAGACTTTACTAGATGAAATTGACTGGTTTAAAAATGAATATTAGACTTTATTAGATGAAATTGAATGGTTTAAAAATGAATATTAGACTTTATTAGATGAAATTGACCAGTTTAAAAATGAATATTAGACTTTACTAGATGAATTTGACCAGTTTAAAAATGAATATTAGACTTTACTAGATGAAAATGACCGGTTTAAAAATGAATATTAGACTTTACTAGATGAAAATGACCAGTTTAAAATGAATATTAGACTTTATTAAATGAAATTGACCGGTTTAAAAATGAATATTAGACTTTACTAGATGAAATTGACTGGTTTTAAAAATGAATATTAGACTTTACTAGATGAAATTGACCGGTTTAAAAATGAATATTAGACTTTATTAGATGAAATTGACTGGTTTTAAAAATGAATATTAGACTTTACTAGATGAAATTGACCAGTTTTAAAAATGAATATTAGTCTCTACTAGAAGTTCAATCAATTTTGTTGGCAAAATGTTGAATGTTGTTGTGATCTATTTTAATAACAATACCTTCTTTTCTCCATATTCTGAATTCACCAAGTGACCCCCACCCTGTTGAAAATCCGATGTAATCAACATACACATCATTTTGTGACTGCCACCTCATAATAACAGAACTGTTACTAGGGACTTCACCGTAACCAACCTGCAATAGCCACACAAATACGACAAAATGTTTATATTAATTCTTATTTTTTCACACATTATTATAATCCAAAGGCCATATACACATGTTCAAATTTTTTTGGTAATATTGGTTTAGTTAAAATTGGCATTTGACCTACAAAAAAAATTTCAATGACCTCTCACAAGCTAAGGATAGAAAATACAAAAGATTAGAAACATGGTGGAGATAGTCATTACTGTATTAATATTTTTTCAAATAATCAGTGACATATCAGATATTAGAATAACCTCTCTTACCATGATTAAGCCATTATCGAATGTTACCCAGAATGCCTTAAATTCATCCCATGACATAATGCCTGGGGTTGCAGCAGTCACCAAGTGGTCACCTGACAAAGATGGAAAGAATTGCATCAATAAGCATCACCTGCTTACAAAATTATGCAAATTTCTAGATCCAATTAAAAAAAATATATATATTAATATGAAGGTAAATATATTGCTTAAAGCAAATAGAGCACCGCGCAGTGGACAGTGCTGCTAGACCTTTGCTATAGCAGCATCGTTGATTTAATCCATGATGGTAAGTATGTAGAGCGAAATGCTAGGCCTCTGAAAGTCCCCCAGTGGTAGTTGCCAAGTTATCAGAAATTTTCATTTTTCAAAATGGTATATTTATTCAAAATTCAAATTAAGACATAAAACATAGCAGCCAAAAGGCTGAATTGCGAATTATGTTTAACAATTAAAACTATTAAAAAAATCAAACAGCAAAGATAAAAAAACAAGTACATCGAAAAAGAGAAAAATATTGCATAAGGATCGATATTGTATCCAATTCGTCATTATAAAAATTATTGTTGTTATTATTACTATTAATTTATTTAGTTAGTCAAATTTCGCGAAAAATGGTGTATAAATTACCCTGCTTTGAAGCAGCAATCCATGACTTGGTGTTCTGCCATCCTCCGAGTACAATCTCAAACAGATCCATTCCCGTTGCATCACTCGCTAGTGCAATATGAGCGTCATTCTTGGCCTTACACGCAAAGACAAACACACGTAAGGCAGATGGTTTCTTCACAAATTTGTAGTCATAGTTGTTAGGTGTAGAGATTGTTATGCGCTCTGTAACCAAATAATAATAGTAATCAAAACATCAATAATAAATGCTTGTGTCATTTGGATATACTGTACATACATCCACTATCAACAAATATTTTGATTGGACTAGTTTTTTCAATACTATACAGTATTTCATAAAATATGGTTTTAAAAATTGTCTCTTTTCACCTTTTTTATTTTTTAGTTATAATTTTGTATTCAATTCTCTATTTAAAGTATTAGTTTTCATTTCTAGATTTTTTATTTTTTTAAATTTTTTTGGTATGTTTTCATTTCTACAAAAGAAAATCCAACTCGCCAATTACAGGATGGAACGTGCTTTATAAGCCGAGTCTCTTTATTGGGCTTAGGGAGAGGAGCTGTTTCATAGTCATGAGAAAAGTTGCAAGCAAGCAAGCAAGTACCTAATTCAATACATCTCCACTATTTTATAATTTGATTATTATTATCGATAAAATGAAATTTAAAAGTAGTTTTATGATCGATATTTACCATTAGGGCAGAAGAACACGCTGTGTGTATAAAAACGAAGAATACCCTCTGGCTACAAAACAAGAAAAAGGCCATACAAGTTAACCATTAAAAGCTGTACGTAAGCATATCTACAAAGGCATGTGCATGTGAAAACAGGTACTTCCTATAGATAAGTCCTGTGACCTCCTTGGACATGAAATGTTGTCAGCAAATTCAACATTCTGTTTACTCTGTCATGTATGGTGGTAATTACTTTCATGGAAAGTGTTAACAAAAAAAGTACAAATAATATTCACCAGCTCATGGCAAAACCATGTCAGAATTAGAAATGTGAAGTCACGATCAATAATTTATGCGATGTCCAGGTTTTTGTATTTTCTAGCAAACCCACTTGGTGGTGCCCATTGCAAATGCCGGGTTGAAAGGTAAGAAGGCAGTAGTATGAGCATATTCATCACAGGTTGAACTTCCTTACATTAAAGAGTGGTCAGATACGACTCTTTGAAAAAGCAAAAATCTATTTTCGCACATGCTTTGAGGGATTTTTTGGGGAACATAACATTCTAATGAAATACACTACCCAAATTTGAATGGTATTTCCTGAAAGAGGGGCCAAATATCAGTCTATGTAGCAATTTTCAATTTTTTATGTTCGATATTCCAGGAGATATAGCTTCGTAAAAACCGTACAAAGTTAAAGGAGCCATTACCGCTATGAAAAAGGGGGTGTGGTACCTAAATTCCAAAAGGTCATAACTTAAAAACCGTTTGGAATTTGGAGCTGAAATTTTGAAACCTTTCTTTTGACATATCAAGGTATTTTTTAGAATTTTTTAAAGGAAAATCCAAGGGTGGGGGGAGGGGTGTCACATGGGAACTTTTAAATTTCTGGCTGATTTGAGCCAGAATGACCCAGCTATAAGTACAACCTTCAGAATCTTAAATCTGGGCCCCATAAACACAGAAATACTGAAATGGTGTCAAGGAAGGGTATAGTTCCTTAACAAAGTTAGATTTCAATGTGAAGTGCTTACAGGAGCCTGTGATATAAATGCATTACTGAAATTATATAATTTTTATATATTACATATAATTATATTAATTTTATATTTTGGATCTGATGTTCTCGCAACTAGAAATCATACAAAAAAATGTTCAAACAAAGCCCAAGAAAACTAAACAGTAAACATATGATAATGTAAATTGAATACAGGTACATCTAGAAAAATTTAAGAAGGGGCCCGAAACTACCTTGCAAAATAATATGAGGTTATTTACGCTACATGAACAGAATTTTTTTGCTTCAAAAAATTCCAGTGGGGGACGCGAGCTTTCTACAGAGGGCGTGTGTGCCCCAGATAGGCCACTGGTTATCAGACTTACCTCTACTGTGACTTGCTTTGAAACTTTGTCCATTGCTAATGCTTTGTTGGTTGCAACTGAATCTCCACAGCATTCCATTGACCTCAAAGCAACTACTCTAGCTGCAATCAAAACAAGAAATATAATTAAACCCATTAAATGTATAAACAGTATTAGGAAAGATCATGAAAAACTCATTGTAGATACAAAACATCTTATAAAATGATTTTGAAAATCAATTTTGTGTAATCAAATTACCCAAAAAAAAAAATTAATTTTTGTGTTGGCCACATTTTGGGAAAATCCAAAAAATGGGTAGGTTGGTGGAAAAACTTTTTTTTTAAACCAAAAATGTGTTTACGCTTGAAGTTTAAATTGAATTTATTCAGTAAAATAATATACAAGCACAGTATAAAATACACAAAATAATACAACAATTTTGGATTCGCATCGCATACCATGCACCAAAATATGCTAGGCCTTGGCCATTTCAGCCTTATTAGCTAATAAAAAAAAAAAATATTGTTCCTTGTAGTATAAAAAAAAAATACTAAAATGCCAACCCTGAATTTCGTAAAATTTGGGTCGGTCGGGCGTGGCCAAGACAATAATTTTTTTTATTTGGCCTTATATAAAATAAAAAAGAAACATACCATGTATTTTGCCTGTTCCTAGCTGGTCAAAGATCAAAGGATGGTTCACAGTTTTCATCTGATTAGGTTCCATACAATATATGAAATTCTCATGACGTTTACCAGGGTGGTTCACAAAATGTATGCCGTCAGAAAGACCTAATGTCAGCGATGCCTAGCAAAACACAAGAAAAGGAATAAAAAGAATGAACATCGAATGATAAGAATATTTATTTATTTATAAAGAAAAAACAACAACAAAGAGCCCTCCAAAATTAACCAAATTTGTGGAACACTATTGAGGGATCTCCAAGGTAGCAAAGAACAAATATTTAGCAAAAACACAAGATCAAAAAAACACCCATGGCCTCCTGACTTCACAAAGACAGTTGATAATGTGAACATGTGAATCTGGGATACTGTAGATGTGTTAATTTTCCAGATGTTTTCTTGCTCGCTGGAATAAAAGGAAACTACAAGCTTGTTTCCAGGAGACTGTTTTCATATCAGAGATTATAGACTTGCTAATGGTATTAATTTGATATTCCTAAAGCTGAAACTGAATATAAGAAAAATAGTTTTTCATTTCATGGTAGAAAGATTTGGAATAACCTTACAGATGATCTGAAATGTGCTCCTAACATACATCTTTTTAAAAGTCTACTTCCATAATTTTTTACTTTTGATTTTATCTTTATCCCTGAAAAACTTTAATCACTTGAGGATTAATATTATCTGTTTTTTATTTACATTAGCATTTTTTATCCTTATATTATAATTATTATTATTCACCAACTTTTTTTACCTTTTGTTTAAAAGGGTTATCATTTTGTCTTTAACAATTTTATTTTCCTTATATTTTGTTACTTTGCATATGGGCTTGCACGGCCTCGACGAAAAACACCCTTGGGTGAATCAAGTGTATCCGTGTAAAAATAAAATAATTATAATATTATAATCCTAAACAATTTGGGATCCCTGAAAAGTCTATTTTTTCTATTGACAAATAAGGCAACCATGCTATGCTGTTCATGAGTGTTAATAATATAACAAGGAATACAGTATAGAAAAATATTTCTTGAATGTTTGCATGGCGAGTATTAATAACAAAACCATAAAACTTTTGGTACACCATGTGTAATAATATGGTTTTTGAGGTAAAACTACTGGTTGGATATCTTGAAAACAACCAACTAATATATAGAACCCAACATATCTGGTGGGTTATGGTTGCAATGAAAAACATAGAATTACTAGGCCTATATTTAAGGAAATCCCCACAAATGGATCCCAAACATCCAAATGTGAATTTCTTTGGACAGAAAAAAAACTTTGAAAATTGAGGGAAGCCAACCTCTGGTAAATATCAATGAAGTCTACTAATACAGTACTTGGAAGTAGATGTTTAAGAGCTTTTCAGTATTGAATGCAAAATGGCATCAAGCCAAACACAGAGCCTAACCTTCCTAAACAAAATCCACCCACTAAACATACAACCACAAAAAAACTGACTTTGCAAACTACTTTTACTTAATATGACATCATCTTAGGCAAGATGTAACAGCTGGTGAGGTTTAACTAAAAATAATATGAAAGAAATTATAGAGGCAAAAAAAAAAAACGATTGACATTTCTGTTAAAACCCCAAAAATGCATTACATTTAATTTGCTGCCCACATAATTAATAAGTACTTGATCAAACTTCTTGGCAAGCAATCAGCTGAGAAGAGATAAGCACATCCTTCGTCAGTTTAACCACAGATAGAGTGTATTAGAGCTTTTGTGGTTTGACAAATATTCTTCACTTCTGGATAGCATTTTAATACGAAAACAGAAGTTTTATAATTGTAGTGATAACTCTAAGTTTAAGAAACAAATAAAACCAATCTAAAAGATTTTAGTCAGAAAGAAAAAAAAAAACTTTCCGATACAGGAATGGTTGTTTCATACTTTATAAATTTATTCATTTGTTCAAATAATGATTTAAAATTTTTAAAAAAAATTAAAAAACAAATAGAAATAATACACATTCATCAATTTCATTCCAAATGTTCAAATAATTTCATTTGGCTACTGATATATATATTTTAGTAAAGCTTTTAGTTTTAAGTTGGTCAAAACTGTTGTGGTAAGAAGTTTTACTACTGGCTTAGTACTAAAGAAAATTCATCTAAAATAAAATTTCATTACAAGTTGTCAGAGAGGAAATCTGTAGATAAAAGATAACCATCCCAAACCTACCTGTACGCAGGTGTCAAGGTAATTGTAAATTGTAATAGGAATCTTGACTTGTTCGCCACGTATCACTGCATATGGTAGAGCAAACTCAACGAAGAATGGCTTGTACGTCTTAATGGTTGACTGACTAGCAATGCCTAGCCCAGTGTGCTTGGATACTGATACCACATCTGTTACCCATGTTGTAATTGTGTCAGGAACATGAACACTAAATGTTTCTTGTTTTCGTGTTGAACTATAAGACAAAATAGACTTGATGTTATTTTCACTTCTGTTTTATATATTAGTATTATTGTTTTTCTTTAAAGTAATATAAAGGTACATTTTCACTTTAACTCCAGTAAAATTCCAGGTCTGACAGACCAGAAATCTCTAAACCTTTTGTTACTTGACAAAAATATACTTTGTTTACCAAAGAGCCCAACATTTTTGCATGACTTTCGAAAATATCACTTCTCAAGCTTTAATTCATCAATATATTTGATACCTTAAGCATGAAGTTTAAATATGCAATAACCATTTTAACAACTACAGGGGCGGATCCAAAGATGTCCAAAAGGGGGGGCCGAAATTTGGGCCGATCAAGACAACACTGAAATAGGAGGCCCGGGGGCATGCCCCCGCGAAATTTCTGTGTTTTAGACGCCGAAAATAACATTTGAGGCGTTCTGGGCTATCGTTTTTTCTTTTACTTTCTTTTTTTCTTTTCTTTTTTTCTTTTTTTTTCACCTCTCAAAAGGGCTGGGGGGGGGGGCCGGGGCCAGGTCGCCCCCCCCCCACTAAATCCGCCTCTGAACTAAATTATAGAGAGCGACGTTGGCAATAAACCATAGAAATAGGTGTAGACCTAGAGTAAAAAACAAATATCTCAACCCACTGACTGTAATATCTATGGGTCATGGGGCAGCTGAAGGGGCTCGATGATGAAATTTAAAAGCAACTACTTCAGCATAAATTTTTGCTTAACAAATTTTGGTTGGGGTGGGAGGGCCACCCAGGGGCACAAGCTCTTTTAAAAGAGCCCCCAAAGCCTATACTGTAGATATGCCACGGTTTGGGCAGCACAACAGTTTTTCTTTATTATCGTTAGTGATGTTATTAATGGTAATATTATAAATATTGCTATTATATAGTCATTTTACCTCATGTTGAAACACTGCCAAAGCCAAGTTTCGGGGAAATATGTCCTTTTTCTCGTCTCTCGTTTTGGAAGCCGAGATTCAACTTTTTCTTTGTTTAGAGAGGTGACTTCAACTCCTCCTAAAAGCAGACAACGTCAATCAACTTTTGTTTCATAATTATTATGTGACAAATCAAAATGAGCAAAGAAAATTTACTTAATTGCAAACAATGAAGAAAAATTTTTAATATATTATTTCTATCATTTGAAAATGAAATATTCGATATAATGAATAACAGGACAGCAAATAAATTGATGAAATGTGAAAAAAAATTTGCAAATAGTTTAAATATTTAAACAAATTTACCATTAATGGGAGCATTTTGATGAAATTTTAACAAAACAACGTCTGTCATAACCTTCAGACCAGCTTCCTGAAAATTAAACGTTAAATATAGAAATGAGTTTCAAATACAAAAATGTACTACAAAAAAAACAAAAACATCTAAATTCTTGAAATGCTTAGCTTGTATATCTTACTATTTGATGTAGAAAAATTGTATGCTGGGACTATCGGACGGCAATTAGTCAGTTTACGGAGGTATTTTATTCACAAAATAGATTATTTATTTTTTACTTATCAATTATTTATTCCACTCACCTACCCAACCACACAAAAACCAACCCAATCGTAGTGAAATTCATGAGATTAACTAACATCAGCCATTTCACCCAAGTGCATTTACATTCACCGTGTGATAGTATACCTAGAAAATAAACACATATCCTAATGGGAAAACCTAAGAGTGCATACCACTTGACCTTAGAGCAGCTCAAGTAGAGATTTCAAAAGGCCTTGGGTTCAAATCCTGATGGGGACATTTTTTTTTTCAAAAGATTATACTCAGCTTATCTAAAGCCTTCTTTCCATGAATTTCTTTAAATGCCTATCATTTTACTTGTCATTTTCATAATTTTATAAATGTGTTAATACAACACATATCTGAAAAAACTTCAATCTTTAATTGAATTAATTTGACTATATCACTATATAAATGTCACATTATTATTATAGAACAATATGTACTATACATTTTCTTTGAAATGAATTTTTTGATAAAATTTGATTTATTCTTTTGCTTTGAAATGGTATATTTGATATTTGTTAAGTTGAAAAAGTAATAATTTTGCCCTATATATAGAATTATGCAATTGTTTTACATTTAAAGGGGCTGGATTGATTAGTGTTTACACTATTTTCTAGCTCCTTCCTATATTGGTTTATGTATTTATTTGAATTTTATATTACTTATACTTATTGGAAAATAAAGTTGAATTTGAATTCACTTTTAACTGATTGATGATTAGCTGATTGATTGATTGATTGATTAATTGGTTAATTTTATTGATTGATTGACTGATTGACTGATGAATGGGATTCCCTTAGGTTCATTTTTTTTTTCACTTACACTAAAAGCAAAGCCTGCATCCATTCCCCCAACGTCATACCAGATTGATCGACGCTTCCTCTTTCCACCATTGTACCAAAATTCCTCATAGGCGTGTTCGTCATGGGTTGAATAGCTTCCCATTTCTTGTAAAACCTAAAATTAATAGATATAACAAAACAAGTACAATATAAAAAATGGTATTTCAATTTATTCATTTTTTTATTTATCAAAGCACTTTGGAGAAACATTGATCTTTCTAATATTAACAATAATATATAATAATCAGAACAATAATAAACAAAAATAATACAAAGAAAAACATATTTTATAAAAATAATTTAAAATATTGATAACAGTATTAGTAATAATAATAGCAATAACAAAAGCAAACATTTTAACTTTTTTATTAATCAAAAGTCAATAGTGTGCATAATACCTTACGATTTTGAAAAGAAATATAAGAAATATGAATAAATAAATCTATAAATACAATTCATAAGTGAATATGTCCATATTCCAGAAAATAAAATTCAGACCTCTCACACCACACCACACCAACCACCTTCCAGGGACAAAAAATCTATTGTTTAACCTGGTTGAAACATGGGTACAGTGTTTGATTCATTCTTTGGTTAGTTTTCATTTGATTGTTTCTTATTCTGTATTTAACATTTTGGACCACAATGGAAATAAGTTTGCCAGTTCGATATTTTATTGTGTTTTTATTATCATATATTATTTTTGTATTCAGACTAAAGACAGTTCATTAAAGAGTACAGTGGTTAACACAAGTTTTAACCAACTACGCTACACTGCTCTTAATATATTGTCAATAACTTAACAACCCAGTCACAGCCCTAAACAATTAAACTCAATCTTACTGAGTTTGACCACAAATGATCTAGGTCTGTAGCAAACTGCTACATCATCTTACTACAAAATCACACATGTTATGCCTCATAC